TTTAAGGTAATCTGTCCTAAGAAGCTTGTGTCTCTGCATACCTCTCCTTTTTTTCCCCACTTTTTTTTTTTCTTTTTTTTTATTGTTGTTCTTTGTTCCTTGCTCTTCCCTGAGGAAGATAGAGATAATGAAAATTTCTGTTTTCATTTAGCTTTCCAGGTGATCTTTGTGTACTTTACCAGACTGCAGCATAGAAAACAAAGCCTTGTTTATTGCCTAACAGCATATATATGTTTTATGATTAATGTGATGTGTTTGTAATACGTGGGACTGATAATAGATAGGGAGATCAAAGTCTTTTGTGAATTGACAGCAGCACTATAAACAAGGTGAAAGGGTTGCAGGTGTTTGCCCCACAGGTATTATACAAAAGCATATGGCTCTTTGTCATGATGTACTGTGTGTGCACAAGGCAACATTGCTGTGAGCTTTGCTCAGAGAGCACGTCCACGGCTCCAGGATCTGGGGGATGCTGTTGGCAGCAGATGAATGTACTCTAGGTGGTCCTGCTCTGGCAGGGGGGTTGGACTAGATGATCTTTCGAGGTCCCTTCCAACCCCTATGATTCTATGATTCTATGAATGTGCAGTGTGGCCAGGACAATCTTGAGGGCATAGGAAGAAAAATGCTAAATTGTCCCTTCACATTAAAGTAGCTGATTGACCTGCTACATCGCCTGGGAGCAGAGATCTGCATTCCTGGAGGGTCTCTGGAAACTGTTGGAAAAGGAGATGGTGAGCTTGGGCATTGCAGGAGGGACCGGGCAATCCAACATGCCTCTTGTCTCACTGCTCCTACCTCAGTTCATAGTTGGACTTGGCAGTTCTTACTTCCATGGCCACAGCAGGCACTAGGTGTGAGCTGAGACACCTAGGCCACATCTCTGCTGAAAGCAATGGTGGTGCACATGCAAAACAGCAGAAATCATTGTTGGATTGTGCTTATTCTCATGGATAAAAGACGTGTTTGCTAAATGACTAAATCGTTGCACAGAGGACAGTAACACCTTGGATGAAACCTGAACCCAAGCTGGAAGATTCTGTCCTTGTCATTAGTTGCCATCGGAGTGGTGCTTGTCTGTCCTTACAAACCAAACTGCTGCAGTTGAGAGTGTCGGATGTTTGTAGCCTCTTCCACTATTAAAACACTCTGGATGCAGATTAACTTCCTTTGCTCAATATACTATAATGTAACCACACCCTTGGCCTGTGAGCCCTTTGGTAAACATGTTGGAGGGCAGCCTGCCTTTTCTGCAGCTTCTAGGTGTAGATCCATGCCCTCTGTTGAACACTTCTGAAAATGTTTTTGCCTGGTCCACTTCTGCAAGTCCAATTCTGCACCGGCAGCCCGCTGGGGTGATGACTTGCCATTCACCCTTCCATCTGCCAGAGGAAGCTAATGCTGTCCTCATACTGCTGATGTACTGGTACCAAATCTTTCCTGTCTCACCTTACAACAGAGCTAAAGCTGCCAGCATAAAAATGTGGGTTTTGGGTTTTTTTTCATCTGTTTTGGAGGCCTGCAGTTTAAACTGAAATTTAATAGCAATTACCCTAACAGCATAATTTAAATAACTGAGGCCTCACCTACACAGGAAAATTGCACTCATGTGTGGGTCATGAAATTTTTATTTAACTAATGTGGCAGTGTTGCAATAGATTCCAATGTGGACAGAGTTGCATCGTTCTGAAGATGCTGTACTACATTCATGCATTTTTATTCCTCTTCAAGAGTGAGCTAGGTAGTCCTGAGCATTTGCATTACACCTTGAGTGGCCTAGATGAAAATATTACAAAGGATTGGGTCAAGTAGTGTAACGGTTCTGTATCCCTATAGTTAAAGGTAGGAGTTTTGTGTGTGGACAAGCCCTGCAAAAAGATTAACCTAGAGAAAGTTAATAAAAAGTGCTGTGCTAAATTATTCATGAATCCATATGTAATGCACTTGCCAGGAGGCTTTTGTTTTTCTCAAACTCTTATTTATTAAAATCTGACAAGAATATCGGGTTTTGTTCAGTAATAAATCTAAGTCTATGTGAGACTAGTGATATCCTCATGTAGTAATACAGAATCAAAATGAAGTTACATGGCAGAGGTGAATGTTATTTACTTGGGAAGAATAGATTATTGTTCAGGAGGATTTTATCTTTTACTTTTGGCATTTTTTGCCATTTTGGAACAAGTTAAAAAAACAAACAAGCAAACAAAACGTAACTGGAAGATACCATATTGGTCTGTGACCAAGGCCTTGATCCTACAAAGGGTTTAAAATATGTTAAAATTCAGTTAAGTATCTCCTTGGTGACTTTGGAGGTTCTGGAGCTGTGTTTGCTAAATGAAATAACTCAGATGATCATGTTTCATGCTTAGCTCTGCTTGTCCTTTATCCTTAACTTCAGGGGAATGTCACAGAAGTCGTGCTTCTAGCATGTGGATTTGACTTTCAAAGGATGTCCATGCACACCATCATCTTATTGTGCCCTAGAAAAGGTTAGAAAGTTTATATACAGAAAGTAGGAGAATGGAAAAAATGCCAGGAAGAGAGCTTTTTCTGTTTGGGACTCAATTTTCCTTAAAAACAGGCAGAACTTTGCTTAAAAAGCAGTTATAATTATTTTCTTGGTGTTTTCAATTTATTAACTTTGGTGGATATCTTTCCCCTTCTTCTCCTTCTCTGCCCTTATTTATAAATGGATAAGGAAAGGAAAAACAGGTAACTAGACAGAAAGTTAGAGAAGAGTAAATCAAAAAGAAAGAGCTTAGCTGGAACAGCAGAACTGTGAGTTTGGGTGACTGGTCTGAGTTGGAGGATGATGTATAGAGTTGTTTGCAGAAGCTTGGCTTGTGAGTCACTTTCTCATAAAAGCAGCTTGAGTAAGAAATGCTCCTGTCCCAAATTTTAGTCCTGAATGCTTTCAAGCACAAAGTGCACTGTGACATAAGGACTCCCACTGTGAGCGCCATTCTGGTATTCCAGTGGATCAGAGCTGGAGCTCTGAAATAAGCTAAGAATGACTCTTGCACACATATACACTTTGCATGATGTAGTGAATGATGCCTTTGGTGTTCACTTAAGCTATCTGGGTAGACACAATCAGCTTCTGAATCAGATTTGCAATCTAGTTTTAGGAATTTGGTCCCTGTGAAAAACTGTGTGTTGGAGGATTACCAGTCACTAGCCATTAAACGAGACAAAGAACTTGATAAACTTGTAGAGAGGAAGAGAAAACCGAGGTGAGAGTGTAACTAATCATCCTGAGTTAGTCTGGGGTGCACAGATCCTCGCCCTGGGAGCTTGCTTTGCCTGTCTGATGTCAGAAAAATTGTACAAAGTACATGCAGAAGGGGCACATAGGGCATTATCCACTTTTGCAAAAGACTGATCAAAGAACTCTTTAAAATGAGACCTCAGCTCTTTCTTATGCAACTGCTAGGATTATGAAGAAAAGTTTGACTATTAACAGGGAGCTGTTTTGCTGTGGTTTAGAAAACTGGGAGAGGTGAAAAAGGTTTATTTTAACAGAACGTACCACCTGTCTCTATGGTTCAAGTGGAGCCTGTGCATTGGATTTGGGAAATAACAGTTCCCCCTGGAAGCCCACCAGAGAAGAAAAGATCTCTTCCTTCTTGATGAAAATTACTTTCTTGTTCTTCTTTGCTGTTTGTTTATTATTAATTTTGGTGATATGGAAGTCAAGGTGGACTGTGAAACCCTGCTTTGGAATCAAGATATTTGTCTGACTTGTTTGCCCTCGGTGAAATCAGTGCTGCTGCAGCTTCATTGCCATGGGAACCTCCAGTTTCTATATTTAATTCAGCCCATGGTTTGCTTGTCTGTTCTGTTGTTGTAATGTAGGCAAGTGATAAGCAATATATTGATACTAAGCTGTATCATACAAAAATGTTTTGCTGTCGATATTATCACGGTATTGCAGCATCTGTGCTATTGCTCTTGTGTTCTACTCTGAGCTTCCTGGCCCTCCTGTACTTTCTTCCAGCCTGCTATTCCTTTCTTCTGGCAAAGCAAAAGCAGCACCACCTCCATAACCTTTCTGGTCCAGCAGTCAGCAAAGCTGGGGACTGCAGGCAACCTCCACTTGCTGGTGGTACGTCTTCCTTCCCCTGCAGAGCAGCCAAGCGTGGGGCACTGTCAGGGATGCTGCTGGATAAGGGAGCTCTTCACCTCTAGGAGTTTTGAGGTTAGGATGGGTTTCAGTACCTCTGCAGCATCCATAACGGGGTAAAGTCCCCCAAGGACAGACCCTGGCTCTGCAAGATCAGACTGAAACAGGGAGCAGGGAGATAAGCGTACTAGCAGAGAGTGAGAGAACCCTATTACCGTTTTCTAAAGTTTTATTAATTCCTTTATACTTGACGAACCTTTTTCTTTGTCTTTTTTTTCCCCCATTGGCGTTATGTAAGGTTCAGATGGTTTCTGTTAAACAGTTCCGTTTGTGCTAGTGCAGAGCCTGGGGTCTAAGCTGCACTCAGTTCCACTGCTGGTAGAAGAAGTGGAAGTGTGCCTTGACTGCAGCCGTGCTGGGGGGACTTCTGGAAAGGCTCGTTGTACACAGAGCTTTTCCATGGAAAGGTATTTCATATGGCTAACTGCAGGATAATCAATTTTGTAGGTCTTTCATGATTTTTTGGGTTGTTGGTTTCTAATGTTTTGCCCCTCTCTAGTTTGGTTTAGTGATACATCACTCTGTACAGAATTTGTAGTGAGTATAGAGTGTGTAGACCTTTACATTAGAGTGTTGACTGAGCATTGATTAATCGGTAAAAGGTTTTAAGCTGTTTCCTTTAAATTGCAGGACAATACATCTTAATTTAATAGTTGAGAGGGATGGGGAAAGATGCTGCTTTACCCGAGGGAATATGTTTTCTGTGATATTTGTTCATGGCAAATATTTTCAAGCCAAAAGGGAGATATTTTAGAGAAGGAGGTGGTTCTCTGGTGGCCATTATCTCTTAAAATGACTCTCTACTTTCCTTCTCTGTAGGTATTACATTGGTCGCCAGATGTTTGTGGTGGTCTCCACACCAGAGATGATCAAGCAAATCTTAGTGACAGACTTCAGTAACTTCACCAACAGAACTGTAAGTAGATAAAAAGATTGGCTTTGTGAATGGAGTTGATATTACTGGTAATCTGAGCTCAGACCAAAAGTGATTGCGAGGCAGCTGGAAACAGAGGGGGCGGGGGAGAAGTACAACATGGTTCAATAAGACTTTAAACTGTATAAACTCAATCCATACATTTAGTGAAAGACTCCTATTACCAGGACTCTCTGAGGGTGAAAGAGAATGTGCTTAAAAGAGATCCACTGTCCTTGTGATTGAGGCACCAGGTGGATGCCAAAGAAAGAGGATTTCAATATCCAGTTTTGCTACTGACCTCCTGTGAAATCCTGGGAAAAATCACTTACTAGCTCTCTTCCTTGGTTCACAATCTGTAATATGAGGACAGTATTATTTGATTTCTGTCAGGCGTGACTTTGTGATTTTAGATTTTCTAGGGCAGGAGAAGGCTGCTTGGGACAGGGACATTTCTCCTGCAGTTAATCTATGTTGCTTGGTCATACTTATCACTCTGAAAATAATAAATAGTAAAGAATAAAATTGAAGTTAGCAAGGACTAATGTATATGCTGTTGGTTACATGCTTGTATATTAAAGAGCTCTTTTAAAAGTACTGGTTAGAACAAATAATGAGGAGGGAATGGCCAGAGGGATAGTAAAGATTTTCAGCAGTTCCTCAGCATTTTACAAGAAAACACTGTCACTGTGACCATGTGCTGCCTCAGTGCCATCCAACCCATGCTTCCTCCTGGCCCCATTGTATGCTCAAACCTGTTCAAATAAACTCACATGCATTCAGGAGGGTTGTTTGTGCCCTCAGGGAAAATTTCACCTCTGATCAGCTGTCTGTCCTCTGCCCCTCTGGTCCTCTCTGCAGCCAGACAGTCTGTTTGCGGACTGCTTGTCTCCTTTGCTTGCTTCTTTTGGTACATGAGGTTCATCTTGTGACTACCTGTATCTTATTTAATAACCACCTGTACCAGGTGACCTCTGTTCTGCCTATAACTCACATCTGAATGGAAGAATCCTAGTGTGCAAGCTTCTTAGGCTGAAGATGTTGTGTGTGGCAAGGGTCTTTTCCCCATATTTTCTGTTTTGAAGGAATTTCCCACACCTTCCCTTCTTCTACCCCTGGGCAGGAACCCTATTTCTTCCTGTCTATAACTTTCCCATGTTTTTCTTCTGTATATTTGAAGGAGTAAACTGTGCTTACGATTCATAGCAGTAGCTGGTGCTCAAATAACATCTCCCTGAAATTAGACAGCATTCCTCTGAGGGTACATTCAGATACTTGTTCTGCTCTTAATTTTAGTCAGCCTTGTCATTTGAATATATCTGTATGTGCATTGTCTGTCAGGCAAAATTGTTCTTTTTTTCCCAGGCTTTTATGGTCCAAGGTTTATCTCTTGTGGTTGTACATCTGTCATGTTCTGTATTATCCATGTTCTTCTCTAAAATTCAGATAGGTGGAATAACTACAGCCAGTCTCTCTCTCTCCCTTTTTTTATTTTTCAGGGATCTATTAGGTAGAGCTGTGTATGAAGGTTCATATCTTGCACTTATCACCTGACGGTCCCCTGAACCATTTTTGGCACAACATCCTGCTTTATATATGAGGAACTGAGGCACAGGCTGAGTGACATCCTCACCACAAACCAGAAAGCCTGTGGCAGATGGGAAAATTTAACTCCTACCCACCTTTCTAACAAAATGAACAGCTTTACCCCTGTGCTCTATTGCTATTTCTGGCCATCTTAATGCCCAGGAGTCTAATTCAAATGAACTTGCTTCATCTTAAAAGTTTTTATCTGCTTGTTCCATGGTCTTCTCACACAGCTGCAATCCTGAGCATTGATATTTTGCACTTTCCACTTTGTTCCCCTCTTCCACCCATTGTTTTTCACTTACTGAAGATAAGCAGCGTTCTGTTTCTGGATCCTTCCACATGTAACTTAGAGAGCTTTTTCACCTCTTGAATTTTCAGACTGGAAGCTACCTCTCCTCTTTAATTTGCAATTAGCTCTCTTGATGAAGTTTTCAGCTAACCTATATACTAACAGTTCTATATGAAGATAAATAATGCTGGATGGTATATAATGAAGGACAGTGGAATTTATTCAGATGTCATTTTGATTGTATGTGAATAATAACTGAAAGGTGAGAGTGAGCAAAGCACTTTGCAAGTAATAGAATTCTTTCTTCTCATATTGACTAAATAAATATAATTTTAAGACTTTTAGTAGGATTTCTTCTGTTTGTATCTTTGAAAAGAACTTAAAGCAAGCTCCTTTGCTTTAAGTGAGGGTTTACATTTGCTAGTGGAGAATCCAAAATGCAAAATAGATCCCCCCACCTTATTTTACCCCTTCCTTCTCTAAATGGTCTATTGATGAGTGATTATAGAATTGGCATTGGAGTTAGTGCTCTTCATAAAGCTAGGCTAATATCTTTCAGTCCAGACATGGTGCACGCTCATTATTTCAACCCAAAGCCTTTTTTTTTTTTTTTTTTTTTTTTCTCCTAATTGTGTCAGTCTTTAAGGGTGAGAAGGAGGGGAAAGGGAGTGACACTGATGAGTTTGAACAGTCCTTGGGAAAATCCGTCATGCTTCACACCCATGCTCTCACCGGTGCATTTCCAAAATCAAGATTTGTATTTCATTCACCAGAGGTGGAATGTGAGTTATCTAACTCAGAATTGTGCAAGGAGAGTTTATTCACCACACTCTGTAGCCCTTGTAGCAATTATGTTAACAAAGCATCACTAAGTTGCAGGGTGTGCAGGAATAATTGTAAAAGCTAAGTGTGGAAGAAGCTTATATTCCATTTTTATTTTGCTACTCTTTTAATTCATCTTAAAATATGTATACATCAGAGTAAGAGACAATGGGAAATTGAGCTTGTGAAGGACTGCAGACAGTGGATGTGTTTGACAGACAGAAGCAGATAAGATGATGATTCAGTGACCTCCAAGCTTTTATTAAAGGTGTTTATAATGTTATGTCTTGCTTTTCAGTGATCATAAGAAGAATGACATTAATCTGGGATTGTTCACTTGCTGGCTTCTCTCTGGGAAGTCATTAGAAGACCTTTATGGAATCAAGGTGGTTTTGATTTGCTGAGGGGACTCTTTGGAAGCATCTTGTGTCCTGTCTCCACATGCAGAGAGACCTGGACCACTTGTACACTTCTCACACATTGAACCCATCTTCTCATTCATTATGTGGACAGAGTAGATTTTGCATGTGATCAGAAGCAAAAATCCTGTTTACTTTATGCAATCATGTTTCCCCTTGATATTACACACTTCACATCTTTACTGTGAATAGCTTTCAAATATCGCTGTAAAAAGATTTTTTGGTTCCCTTGCCATATTCTGCTGGTTTTGAGTTATTAATCAGTAATTCTTGCGACAGAAGTCTGTGATGACGCAGATCACATCTGCATTAAGGTTCACTTCCTTTTAGAACAAGCAAGTATATCTAGCACACAGGGTATTATTCCCCTGTAGGCATGGGGTATATTTATTGTTAACTGTATAATCAGATGCAATAATGACATTCTTCTTTCCCATCTAGTTTTGACTTAAGGTGGGCACTGTAACCATTTAAAACCCAAAATGTCTACTGTAACATACCTTCATGCTTGAGGCATGTGAAACCTTTTCCCTATGTTTTTAATTATAGTTGAAGAAGAAAAGATGAAAATTAGCTTACAGACCTTCTGCCAAAAAGTATGGAATTGATTTTAATTTAGGTTAACCATGGAAACCTCAGCCAGCATTCTAGGCAGGGCTGTGTTGCAGTAAATGATACCTTTTTCTCACAACTCTGGTAAGTCACCTCTTGAATAGTTTCCTTTTAAGAGCACTAAAACCATTTTTAGCTGCGTTGCTGTGTTGTGAGGGAGATAAGTTTATGATGTTTGTTGCATTCTGCCAGGCAGGATAATGATACATAAACTGTTTTCGGATTGTTTTTAATTTCTGCATTAAAAGTTTGTTTTTGAATTAGTACTTAAGAATCATTAAAAGGTACTTTTAAAAAAGTGGGAGCAGAATGTTAAGATGGAGCAATGTGAAGAAAGAAATTGCCTGGTACACAATTTAAATGACTCAGAAGTTGCGGGGCAAAGTACTTGATAAACATGTGGATCAGTGAGCCCTAAGTTAAATTCTGGCTAGTAAAAGTTTGCAAGGCTGCTGGAGTCATTGCTGTGCCAGGATGCATGTGGCTATCACAAGTGGAAACTCAGAGTTGATCCAGACCAAATCCGTAAATCTACATGCGAACCAGCTGGAGGAGGATGACATTTTTTAATAGAAAAATCTACACCACTTCTAGCTGTAACAAAACATCACTGTTTTCTCTTCAGGAGCTTTGTTGCTACAGTGGAAAAAGAAACAATGGATTAACAAATAATAATGAAGTGGTAAAAGTAAGAACAAAAGAGTAGTGAGGAAGTTGATATAACATGGCAGTATAAATTCTTTGTATCCCTCTTGAAGGAAAAGCAAATTTCCTGGCTTTTTTTTTTTGCTTTCCCTCCCCCAATCTCCTAGTTCATCTGTGTAGGACAAGATTATTCTTTTCACAAATAGAATTTGCCTGTTAAACTAAGCTGTTGACTTCATCTTAGTTTTGTTGTATCTGTAAGGCTTCAGGCCTACCTGTGGCATTAAACAAATAAAATACAGCCACCAAGGAGGAAGGATCCTATTTTCTGCATCTTGTTCAGCTGTGGTCCAGGACAGCTGCTGTGGCCCTGCACGGGCTGTTCTTTCTGGTCTCTTATTAGGGGACACCATACACAGAGAGTTTTATTGCCAGTATATTGCTCTGTCAAAAGGTCTAACCAAATTTGATACAAGATGCCCTTTAGAGGTCACTTCCAACCTCAGCCATCCTCTAATTCTGTGAATTTTGTGCCAGGCCCTCAGCCAGAATAAATCAGCATAACTTCAGATGATCCTATGCCAACTGATCACGATTATGCATCACCAGAACTGGGCTGGGGTGCACAGCTGGCTTCAAAGAGCTCAGTGGGGTGCCTCAGTGTTCTGATTTGAGCTGGAACAGAACTAATTCTGTTCAGTGATTTTACTTTTGCGCTAAATCTCTTCTAAGTAGCAGCACTTCCTGAAATTAGTTGCATTTTTTTGCAGAGAGTGTCTGCTTCTAGAAGTGATAGTGCTTGATGTTTATAGTCACTACTAATAATTGCTATGCAGGAAGGCTCTTGTTTATGCTAGCTCCCATAGAAGCCAAGGTCACTGCTAACTCTTGCACCATACTGGGGTGCATTAAGTGAGAGGTCACACCTGCAGAGAGGGGCAGACAGGAAAAGTGACCCAAAGCTGAGCAACAAGGTATTCCATGCCATATACATCACCTTCAATTTTAAGCTGAGGGATCACAAAGGTCAACCTGTCTTCTTCAATGGCTGGTGTCTGAGGAAAACTCTGTTCATTCTGCCTTGGATCCCAGTCTATGCATTCCTGAATCCAGCTCCTGAATCTGGTTCCCATTTGCTGATGAGTCCAGTCTGGGACTTCCCCAGTGCCTGCCCACACCATCAGTGGTGAAGTCTATGTAATTACCATCAAGGGGCTTGGGTTCAATACTGGGTTTGTAAATATCTGTATATATTTAATTTTATTATTTTCATTAAAGCTGTTCTAGATTTTTTTTGCAATCCATACATCTTTCCTTAATTCCCTTTCTCTTCACATTTTGGAAGGGGGAGGAGTTGATAAAGAGCATGTGTCATTCATCTAGTGGCCGGCCCAGCCCTAACCCTTGACACACAGGGACTGACTCTGTGTATGTGTGTTCTTGGCCTTTTGCAAAAAGGTTGCTTGCGTGTCTTGTGTGAGATCTTACTTGATGCATCCTGCCTTGGTTTTCGGAGTACAAGCATTGCCTGTTTGCAGCAGCTCTTCTGATGTGCTGTCATTCAGTAAACAGTAGCAATCCAGTTGTTTATCCAAACCCACAGTTTGATCCAGCTCATGGGCTGGGCTGTTTCATCAGTCTCTCTCTCACAAAGACAGGTTTTGTTTTGAAAAATCAACCCACTAACATACTTGTTTGGAGACATCATATAAAAGTAGTTATAGAACAAAGAGTTGTATACTGCTGCCAAAAGACACATGCTGCCTTGACCCTATACCCTTGGTTGTTTGGTTTAGAAATGTTTCTTTTCTTCTAATTAAATGTCCTAGGATTATTCCTGGTTGTGTCAATACCATCATCACCATGCTTTCATGTGAATTTCTTAGTTATTTCCAAATTGTTGTTGCAAAGTGCAATGAACTTGGTTTGTAAACAGATGATGAGTGTGCTTTGTTGGAGGCTCACTTTGCCACGAACACGTGGTTTGGAGCACTAGTGACACAGTATGACAGCAGGCAAGTCAATATTTGGAGAATTATGTCAACAAATGGGGAAAAAAGAAAAAAGTAAAATATATATATATATATATATATGTAATGAGATCTTCAATTTCCCACCTTTTAAAATGACTGGTCAGTGGGCTGGTTTAGTACACAAGTGATGCTCCAGTGTGTGTTAATAATTTGGTTGTGACAGTTTTAAAAACAAGCTGTTTTTTTCTGTGAGAGAAGCAGAGGGAAGGAACGTGCTTTAAATTTGTTCACTGACTCAATCTTTTTAGATATGCTTTCATTTTCCCATTCCTTCACCTTGTTTCATCGTGGGGTTTGTTGGGTTCACACAGGACACGGAAGGTGACCAGCGTAATGCTTCTGGAGTGTACATGTCCCAGGATTAGTTGTTACACCTGCATGTGTGCATGCATAGATATTTGTATGCATTTACGGATGCATACTGGTGCACGTGTGTTGATTTGGGGTCTCTGTGATTTGAGGAGAAGCTGAATCTCTAGTCCTCACTAAAGCCTTGTGGATGTCAATTGTGCCATCTGTTATTATGGAAACTTCACAAAATGTGCCTCTTCGTACATGCCACGGTGCCATTTCAGTTCCTGATGCAACAAAGCCATCTCTCCTGATGGCAGGCTGTGCCTTGAACATCCAGGTCTTTGTGATACAGAGCTGTGGTGTTGTCTCCTCCCTCGCTCCCTGACTTTGTAGGACAAATTCAAGTGCCGATCCTGCCACATGTATGATAAGGCTCAGTTTCACTGAGCTGAGAATATTCAGTGCTTCCAAAAATCGTTCCATGCCTTATAAGTGAAAAGGTGTTGAAGCAGTGAATTTATTAAAATTTACCTTTTTTTGCCTAGCAGTTTTCTACAGCTGCTAGATCATAGTTGGTCTGAAGTCTTGGCTGGTACAGCATCATTATAGAAAGGGAATTATGTTAGCATGGAACACATTTGGCAGTATATAGCACTTAACTGTTTAATATTAATTTGTTTGACTGCATATTTGTGGGTGCTTTTGTACAGCCACATGAGCCCTGTTGCTTGAGAGATCTTCCAGTGCCAGTCTCTGCCAGGAAGATGAGCAAGGGCTTTTATCCTTGTTTTGACCTGATGGTTCTCACTGGGCTGTACTGCAGCAGGGACTCCTAGGCTCAAGAACCATAATGATCTATCTCCTTTCTTTCCCCAGAGTGTCTCCATGGCTGTCTTCTAGACATACCAGGATACCTTTCTAGCTTGGTAAATATGTATGTGACTGTTTTGCCTCCTTTACCTGTTAGAATAGCTTCAATTCTGGATTGCTTTTTTCTTTCATCTTTTTTCTTTCAAAGCTTGCAGGTTAATTTTTCTGAGCAATTAAATCCAATTTTGTTTAAATGTTTTAAAGTAGCAGTGCATATGCTTGCAATAGGCATTTTAAAATTAAAATAATAAATATTGAGAGGGTCATTTCTTTCAGACTGTGTATGTCTTTTTATGCATGCACAACAAATTGCCCCTGATTCCCCATATGCTGCAGCTAATAGCACAAAACTAATGTCAAATGATCACTGCTATTGACTGTAAAATTAATCAGACTGGCTTCAGTTAGCCTCAAAGAAAGACTTGACATATTAGTAGACTGTGTTCTGGGAATCACCTGATCCTCTGAATCCTAGCGAGAAGAAGCCTGATTTTGTGATTAGGGCTTTGGGCTGGGATTTAGGAGGTCTGAGCTCAGTTTTTGGCTTTGCTACACAATTTCTGTGTTCACAAGGCCAAATTATTTAGGAAGTGCTTTGTCACTTTAACAAATGGAAAAGAGTATGCTGGGAATTTCAAGCTGAACGTTATCATTAGTGAACGTTGCTGCTTCAGAACTGATGGCAAAGGGTTAGGTTTTGGTTTATCTGATAATTCAATAGTTGTGGTGGGACTTTTTTTTTGTTTCTTCTCAGAAGAAGCTTCAGAAATACAGAGGAAAAATTTTATTGAAAAAAATCTAATTTTTTTATCCCTTTCAAGTAGCTCTCTGTTTTAAAATGTAAGTATTTTTAAGAATTTTTTTAAAAAAATGAAGTAGTTAATATTAACATGTTCAACTGAGTGTATTTTGAGGATTATCTTCACTTAAATTTGTCATTTTTATTTGCAATTCTAATTCAGAACGGGAAACCAAGTGAAATCTCTGTCCTGCAAGATGAGAAAGTTCATATGTACCTACCTATCTTGAACACTTGCCATGTGCCTCTGGTGACTGCTATTCCTAAAAAGCTGTTAACATTTACTTCTATGCACATTCTTATATCTCATTTAATTCAGTGAGCTGTGAGCATGTATTTAGCTAAGTATATTTATTTATAAACTGTCCATAATGGGGATGTTCCCTTAACTAGTAGCCTTTATTTGTCTGTGCCTTGCGTGGTCTCTTCTCACACATTTAAGTATTTGATAAAGACAAGTTTCTGAAGGTTTAGGAAGATATTGATAACAGTTTGGAATGCCACAGAACAACTTACAAGTGAGCCATCTGAAAACACTGATGCTCTGTTAAAGAGGAGAGCCTCTAGCAGGCATTTTATTTTCTTTGAGAGGTTACTTAGATGATTTGTCATTTGAGGAAGGTTTGTTGTCTTGTGATTGGAGGGAGCTCTCCTGCAAGCAGTCAGCATGTACCCAGCAGTGGTGGTCAGAGCTGGGCTTGGAGATAACCACGCTTTTTGTGAGTTGGCTATTTTAACTGGCTAATATATTGTTGTCCAGGTAGGTCATGTGAATTTGTTTGCTTAAGATTTATGAATGTCTGAGTAAGCAAACACTAATATTTGTCATATTTGCAGGTAAGGTAGTAAATACAACCATCTGATCCCTCCTGTATGAAGGGCTAGCAGTTGACGGTAGAAACAGATGGGTTACACACAGATGGGATACAAGAATAAAAACTTTACACATTTTCACTTTTCCAGACATGGGTTGTATCTTTTCAAATGCTATGGGCCATAAACCTTAGCAATATAATAGCAATGTAGTTGACTGTAAGGAGGTTAGGAGGCTTAAAAACAAGTTTCCTCTTCCCTCACCCTGCATTAAGACACGGTATGATGGATCAGTAGGTTGAAACCACAGCTGATATTCAGATGCACAGTCATCTTATCTTTTACAAGATTTATTGTAAGAGTTATTTATCAGCATGGGTCTGAGTATTTGAATCTCTCCTTGAGTCTTTCTCTGGTTTATTAATGGGCCGCAGTGCTGCCATCACCATGGTATCCTGCTACCTCTTC